TCCGTTTGGTTATTTTGTAACATTTTTGGAAAACAAATCAGTTGTAAATCTTTTTGCTGCTTCGTAGCCGGCAACTTCTAGCAAATGGTAATACCAGAAAATTATATGGTATTCAGGTAAACTAATTGTACAGTTAAACAGGTTTCTTAACGAATTGCTGTCATTACATCCCTCATAAGCCTGTATCACTTCAAAGACGAGCCAAAGAAAAATTAAAAATAAAAAGCCTGGAACTTCTATACAGCTCTCAAATTTCTGTATCTAATTAATAAAACTATTGGCTACGGTCACTTTACTATTTATACGTATAACCATTATTCGATACGGTATTGTTGCTCGGTTAATCCAGTCCCAAGTATACGCAATGTTAAACCTACTAACACTTGACAATACTAATTTTATATAAGAAAACTAAAGAAATAACAGCAATATCATTGTCGTATAATTTAAAAAATAGTCAATTAACAAATGACTTTTTTTAATAAGCAGCAACTAGGGATACAGAATCTGGGATACAGGAACGAGTAAACAACAACTGTTAACGAGAAAAAAACCGTATTTCTTTATTGTTTAAAATTACTGTTCTTTTTTTTGGCTCTATCTTTTATTGCTTCACTGTATCTGTGTCTAATATTTGAAAAGTTATCTGTTCCGATTACTGTAAGTCGTTGAGACCGGTCGAAGTTCAAAAAAGTAGAAATTTGCTCTTCAAACTTCAGAACACTGATGCTGTTTGATTTATCCAACTGTATTACACTGAGGATGAGAAGATATTTAAGCAAGCATTGTTAATATAATTCAATAGGAATTAAACAGTGACGGCACTTGTTCAAACACGAACTTTCGTTCGCCATCGCGAAACGGCATTGTTAATTTGGTTTTTTCTTTGGCAGTCATAAGTACTTTTAATTCGTTGCGAAAATAGCTTTCTTTATTACAGCTGTCTATTTTTTTTAAAGCTATGCTTGCCTCTAATCGTTAATCATTATAACAAACGGTATGACATTGACAACTTCGTTATTTGTTCATTTTCTTGGAAAAATTTCTTCTAAATTTTCATTTTTCTCTTTTAATTGAAATTTTTTGACAGTTTCATTTTTTATTTTCGACACTCAGAAGCTGAGTATTTTTTTTTTTTCAGAACAAGCACTATGTTGGTTAAAAGAAAAATCAAGCGCAAATATAGATATATGTATCTTAAAATTGCATTTTTACAGAAAATTCATGTGTATCTTGTGAGCTTTGGCTTCATCCGCAACCCTAGTCCAGATGTCCTTGCTTCGGTTTGTTCCAGAATATACGCAGCCTACAAAAGAGGCGATACAGAAATTCCTCGATGTACTCCACGGCATTGATCGTTTCGTTGTTTTAACAGGAGCTGGAATTTCCACTGAATCAGGTTCTTTCTTTTGGCTTC